GACTTGTGAAATAATGTCTTGGTTCACCGAAACCAAATCCTTTTACTGGCTGTGCTTTCTGTGAAAAAATATAATAATAAGAAAATTAACATTTGACATGCTTCAACCAAGGTAATTCAATACATATTTCATTTAACATTTCAGGCTATCATTCAACATTTACAGGTATTAATTTGCAGTTGTACAACAAACCCACTGCTCATTCAGTGTGAACTGAAAGTAATTTATAATAATAGTTTTAGGAACTTTACCAATTATTATTATATAATTATATATAATTTATTAATTATATGTAATTTTCTACACTTGTTCAAAATTTTAAGTACCTGTAGTATGCAAATGTTTGTCTATTAACAGCAAAATTAGGGAAATACTAAATCTGAATTTAACAAGGTAATCTTTATAAATTTTAATTGTAAACCAGACATGGTTGCATCAACTGTGTAAAAATAATTGGCCCCCTCAAAAAGGCAAAGAAATAAGATCTGAGTCAGCATATTTTCAGTAGGTATGTAGATACTTATTGCAATTCTGCAAACCAATTTTCTTTTGAAGGCCACATGCACTTAATTTTAACTTAATATGTATAAATTTTGTTTCACTTAGAACTATGCTTAATTCAGGGGAGACAAAACCAATTGTCTGTATTGCCCAGATTGTCCCATAGCATGATCTAAAAGGGATAGGGGACCATGTAACTGACCAATGAAAACCCTGAGATTTGAGACAGAGTTAAGCAAAAGGTTTTATTATCTCAAGGCAAGGTTTGATATTGATCCATCCACTGGTTCATGCCCATAAAAATCAGCGAATTTGCACTAAGTACTTTTTTCACTTTTAGGGGAATGGTGGCAGAGCACATAGAGAGGGGAAAACTGTGTTGCAGATAGGACAATGATGGAAATTCAGAAATGGATTTAACAGTCCATTTTTAAATCAAATTGTGAAACAATACCATTATCCTTTTCGGAATCCCACCCCAACTGAACCCCCTTCCCCCACCCCATTTTTTTTCTTTTGCAGGGAATCTTTTTTGTTAAGAAATAAGGGAAAATATTATTGATTTGGGAGGGGCCTAAATGGCCATTGAAAAAACATTGTGCTCAGATTACTTATAATCTAGTCAGTTACCTGTAAATGTTGCTCTATTTCTTCCTGTATAAGTTTGTTGGACTTGAAAAAAAGCTTCTGGGCAGAGACAACACCCATCATCAATGTAGCCAGCAGCAACCAGTTATATTCCTTCATCTACAATCAGGCAAAACTTATTAATTTATATCCTTACCTCTCTTACTGTGTAGCCCTGTATATCATAAATGGAACTTGTTCAATTTTTTTTCAATCTGGACAAAACCATTCAAATTTTAAGGGACAATTACAAAATATACCGTATTATTATTGAAAGACCATCGCCTAGTCAAAATATTTGATGTGCCAAAAGCAGCGGATTCTGAGATAATTTTTTATCCTGCTCTTGTCTATATCATCTGCTGGATGAAGCCTTGCCGGATAAAGTTATCTATCTCCAGTCATGATCACGTCACATGATGACGTCACATGTTTAGCAGCAAAACAAAACTACATATAGATGCTATTTTATCTGGGCAAAGTAAGAATGAAACCATTTAATTATCCTAAAACATGATTAAAAGCAGGATAAATCAAATACATGGTTGATGTCGGGATGGAGAATGTTTATCCGGTGAGTGAGAAAGTGTATCTTGGCGAGCTTTAGCGACATCAACCATATATTTTCTATGTTCTGGGTAGAGCCTAGAGGGGAGATACTGTTCATACACAAAACAGCACATTTATTTCAATGCACAGTACAATTAGCTTGTGACAGGTTTGAAACCAGGTGGATAGACATTCTTAGATTACTAGTCTGGCATGTAAACCCCCAGGCCCACACAGGTTTGCCACATTCAATTCAGTCTATGATATTACATGCAAGTTTTGAATTCACAATGTATATAGCTCATTTTCAATTCCTATTTTTGTTGTTGTTTTTCTAGTGATTATATAAACCACAAGATCTATGTTGCAGTTTGTAATTCTTTAGCCTTTTAAAACTAGTACGTGCTGAGTTGTTTTGAACATTACACTATTACAATAAATCATTGAATATCAATTCCCCACCCACATCTTCTTGCACTGACACTGTGCACAATACCGGTGTAGACTTTCTATTTAAAATCTACTAAATTACTTTTTATCACAAACTTTGCATAACAATAATGACAAGCAAATTTATTTTACAACATTACTATAGAAGTAAAATTATGATATATTTCTTTATATTCAATGATTACTTTACCTTGTAGTTTCGGTATTGCAGTCTAGCAGAACCGTCTTGTGTTAATACAAAGTGAAGTCATATGACTAAAAATGCTTGGTCACGTGAATCACGTGGACAACTTGAGCTTGCAATTTGATTGGTTCTATATTTAAGTCTACTTTCGGTTTCGATTTCAATAATAGCTGAACACCACTAAATATTTTCCTGTTTAGGTCTGACGACTATTTCTATAATGCTTAAATCTGGCTGGGATTCAGCTAAAATTAAGTAGATCTAATTAAATTCATTACAACTTTCATAAACGTTAATATTTTAATGTCTATTTTAAACACATTGACATTGAAAATTTGGACGTCAAAAGTGCAATACCTGACCTGTTATACTAGCTTTAATCATTTGCAGAATAAACAATACCTAAAATATCCAAAACTTCAGCCTTTGCTGCTAAAATATTTTATCATGTTAAAGATAAAAAAATAAGATAATAAAATAAAATAAGATATCTGTCAGGACACATGGTACTATAGTGTGGACAATTTAGGTAATTTTGATACCCTCCTCGACAGGCCTCAGATATGTGTCAACATTATTAGAAATAAACAGACTATTTTGTTAGTTAGGAGAAGAACCTAGTACTGAGTCAAATTTTCAGATCTCTAGGCTTGAAATTATGAAAACTATACGGAAAAATGTTCAAAAAGTGTCCGGCTGATGGTCCCCGACAGACATAAATTTTTGTACTGTTCCTAAATTCAAATTATCGAACCTTGCAAAGAACATTATCAAAATACTTTTTTATCTGTGCACAATCTGGGTAGAAGTAAAAGTCTTCTTATGTGTAATTTATGAAACTGTATGTTCAAACTCAAAGTACTAGATCAATTTGTCACATGACAAAGTTGTGAATGAATTAAACAATGAGAGATTACATTATCTCTCACAAAAAAGACTCAATCAAATGCAATTTTTACCAAGACATAAGGTAGACATTTTAGATTTTTGTTTTTATAGTAAAAGAGATTGTTTAAGACTGACTAACCATTCTGAGGGCTTATCTCTGATTTCTCGAGACCTGAGCAGGACAAGAGCATCACCAAAGCTGAACAAATTTAAACAACGTGTAATATACGGGACGAAGACACAGCAATATAGTAAATATAGTAGGACAAATGCATGTGAGATATAGGCCAAAAATATATTGAAAATAGAAAAGAGGTGTCTCATGTGGTTCAAGTACTAGTAAGACAAAGAAATAACAGAAATGAAAGAAAATAAAAAATAAATAAATAAACGTATGAAATGTAGGACATTTCCAAGATCATTAAGAGTATAAACATGAAAAAGGTGTATGCTAAGTCTTGAAAAAAATAGAACTTATGCCACTATTAAACACAACATATAAATGTAGAAATTGAAAAGAAGAAAAAGGGGGAAAAAAGATTATCAGCCACTTCCAGGGCTTTTCTGCCATTATCTACCAGACCATGAAGGTTATATGATGACCCAACCCCTCCTTCATCCCGGACAAGATTGACTTGTTTCTCTCCCATCTCAAACTTTCAACGGTGTCCTAACGATGCCTTCACCTCGGGTGGTCCCCGCTTGTAATGTGACGTAGGCTTCGAAAGTGTCACATTGAATTGTTCATGATAATGTGTTACTTATAGCGCTAAGTAAAACCCCTGTCACAATAGGGTGACGTTCTCACGGCGTCCAAAAAAAAAATTAATAAAAAAATCAGAACGCCGTAAGTGCGCAGTAAGGTCGAAAACATCGCCGCATAATCGCCAAAGCATCTGCATAGCATAGAACGCCGACCAACGGTCGGCATGCACAAAACAAACGCCGTCACTCGGTGTTCTGATAAGAGCGCAGTGTGATCGCAGTATTAACGTCGAAGAAACTCAGTAGCATCTCCTACAACGCTTGTACGGAGATTGTTCGGGATTTCTATTGCGCTTATACTGCGTGTGCTCGGCATGCTCAATTGCGCGCCATTGGTCGGCGTTCTATGCAATGCCACTACGGAGATGCTGCGGCGATTTTTACGATCTTACTGCGCTTTCCTCGGCGTTCTGAATTTTCATTGGACGCCGTGAGAAAGTCGCCCTAGTGTGACTACGGAATGCCGTTAGGGCCATCGCCTATGAATGGCTTGATCTGAAACGCGATACTCGACAGTACGATGATGAAAACGCGAAATCACGAAACTACGATGGTGAAAACGCGACAGTACGATGATGAAAACACGACAGTACGATGACGAAAACACGATAATACGACAATACGATGATGATAATACGATAAACTATCGTGTTTTCATCATCGTACTTTCGCGTTTTCACCATCGTAATTTCGTGATTTCGCGTTTTCATCATCGTACTGTCGTGTTTTCATCATCGTACTATCGCGTTTTCACCATCGTACTATCGCGTTTTCATCATCGTACTTTCGCGTTTTCATCGTCGTATTATCGCGTTTTCACTATCGAGTTTCAGATCAACACATTCATAGGTGATGGCCCTAACGGCATTCCGGAATGCCGTTAGGGCCATCGCCTATGAATGGTTTGATCTGAAACACGATACTCGACAGTACGATGATGAAAACGCGAAATCACGAAACTACGATGGTGAAAACGCGACAGCACGATGGTGAAAACACGATAGTTTATCGCGTTTTCATCATCGTAGTATCGTACTGTCGCGTTTTCATCATCGTAATATCGCGTTTTCACCATCGTAGTTTCGTGATTTCGCGTTTTCACCATCGTAGTTTCGTGATTTCGCGTTTTCACCATCGTACTATCGACTATCGCGTTTCAGATCAACACATTCACAGGCGATGGCCCTAACGGCATTCCGTATGTGACAGGGGTTGAAAAAGCTCGCTGAATGCAATGACGACCCTGGGTATTTCAGATGACGTCACACACGCATCACAAATCAAGGTACAGAAGTACAGATGTGGTCGCCCTCCGTTATTTTTTGTTTCTTTCAAACAGTTAATGCTTTTCAACAATGCTATTATTGACAGACTGCACTGTTTTCGGAGAATGAAGGGGAATACGGGGAAAATATTGTGAAATTGGTTCAATCATTAAAATGACCTGTACCATAACCCTCGCCACGGTTGGTCTTAGGTTTCCTGCATGAGTAGATGGAAAACATGGTTTGAACACTATGGTCTGTTGTTCTCACGATTGCTTTACCATAAACAAATAAAGAAACGTGGAAAAACCGATATTCAGACGTATACCTATACAACAAATGCATATGTTTTTCGTGCATGAACATCTACTGAAGCCACTGGGACTTTATAACATCCCTCGCCATGTTGGTTCGGGCTTCAAATGCATCTTCGTGCCTTTATTTCCGCTAGATAGGCGTTGTATTGAATTTTCTATAGTTCTAAATATAGCGCTCGTTTGATAATTACATTTCCCCTTATAGCGTTTGCATGATAACATTTTCCATGTTTCCTCTAACACATGCCGCGGTATTATTGTGTTGTAACATTACATTGTTATCATGTGAGAAAGTATCGACTGGGTATGTATATATAGACCTAGATCTATCCACCGCAACACTAATCTGTGTGACATGAAGTTTACAGTCTCACATAGATATCAAATGCGATCATTTCAAGATATTGCTTTTCCGCGAATAAAGAGTGTTTTCTTCAATACACTGTATCAGTTTTACAAATAATAGAGTCTTAAAAAAGACTATAAATAAGAATTTTTAAAAGAAATATTTCCGCATATTTAGTATGTATATTAAGTACTTAAATCGCAACTGGAGCATTCGACACCATATTTAATGGTTCAACATAAACGATCAGACGAATATGGAGAAAATATTTTGATATTGATACAGCACAAAGTAATGATTTTTATGTATGTGCTAGTTTAATCAAAAAGTGATATTTAGTGCTATATATATATCTATATCTGCACTGCCTATTGTACATGTGTTAATGGGGATTTACTGCAGCAAAAATGACCTTAACATTATGAATCTCAAACAAAAATTAAACATACACGCCAAAAGCTGTGTTATAAGTTGATGCATAAAGATTGCGCATGTGCGGTTTTATATAATACATTTATAACATAAAATATTTACTATACTATGTGAGACTCTCACTTGTGAACTATCGAGATATGCCAGATTATTTAAATGATTGTAAACAATGGAAAGTAGCGCTTGTACGGACATGAAAACGGACAATAATCCGGACAGTTCCTCAGATGATGAGCATGATCAGCCGGATCCTAGGATACAGGTTCGAGCATTTTTGTTTTGTATATTTATTGATATTTCATACCATTATAACTGTTACTATGTGTTTTAATATAAATCGATCAGTAATAGTTCATTCGGCGATGTTTCGTTGTCGTGCACGGGAACGCCCCCTTTCTGGTTTATGTAATGAATTGTTTCACTATCTATAATGATAATAGACTATAGATGTTTATCAGGGTCATTGTTTGTTGTCCATACATGTACATTAATCTGGCTCATGCTTCAGTCAGTTCAATCGTGTATACAATGTGATACAAAATCTTAAAGGCACATCATGCCCCAGAGATGAATTTTTTTTTACTTGTTAAAATAATGATTTTAGAGCATGTAAACGTTATATAGATATTTGTAAACTGAAGAAAGTAGCGATATATGTAAAATAGATTGTAAAGAAAATAGCGAAATGTAAACAAAGAAGTATTCTGACTTCCATAAAAAAATACTCAATCACCAGAACTGAATACTAATTGCCAAACAGCAAAAAATTAAAGATAAAAATAAATAAATAAATTAGGGAAATAAAGAAAAAAGATGGTTTAGGTAATCGGCTAATGACTCACTTTATGTAAACTATTACAGGGCACCAAAAATAAAGAAACTTTTTGAGAAATGGAAATAAAAGCATTTCGTAGACATAATGGGCCTTTAAAACAACTCGTGAAGCAACGGTGTTTTTTTATTTGTTTTTTTTTTTTTGGTAACATCACACCATGGTTTAATTTTAATGTTTACTTAAACGTGTGTCTGTTATTTTTATAGAAATTACTTACATGAATTTAAACTTTAATATTTTAATTTACCTACTACAAAGTTGAATAGACTATGTTATTTTATTTTGTAAAGATTGCGTTCAATACACAACAGCTGTTCAAATAGTTATATGAATAATTACAGAAAACATATCTATACCATGACTCATATAAAAATATCAATAGTATATACAGTGATTCATTTAAAAGCAGCATATGTGAAGTGAACAAAAATACAAAAAATACACAAATACAAATTACAAAAGATAAAGTCTACGTAAATTCCCAAAATGAGGTCAGCATAATCAATGCAATATATGCAAACACAGCCTTTTTTGCGTTAGTCACGCATTAGAAATATTTTGATTAATACAAATGTACTGCAAAATCAGTCATTAGTCGCACATAAAATAAATTATTTCTTGAATTTTGAATCATGAATATTTTTATTTTTTCCCTAAAATTTGATCTGATTTGTATATATTTTTCACAAGTTTGATTTTTTTAAATATTATGGTTCATCTGGAGGTATGCAGCTTTAAATAATTTAATTGGATATACAATTAATTTATGATATAATTGCATCAGCGTTGTAATATTTTTCTGTGTTTTATATTTTGTCTACATGAATATAAACATATAAAGTACATGTATTGAGTAATTGCATAGACCACAGTCTACCACAAAGATAAACATTTTACCGCAATATCCGTAATCTGCTTAATTAACGAAACAACGTACGTACAATGTAATGTTAATAAAGCATGTATGCATATCTTTATAAATTATATAAATGATCGAAAAGAACAGAAGCTAAGGTTATTGCTTTCCGAGAAATTACACGCATATTGTTATCATGTAATGAATAGTTATAATGTTACAGATGGAATATGTATCTAAATGTCAAACATGTGTGTATATATTTCACAGAATCTGAATTATTTTGTGTAAGCTACACATAACCGCAAACGGAAATTTGCATATAAAACGTTTGCCTGTTCTATTGCTTTAATACTATATCGTATCAAAGTTTACAACGCAACACACGTGCGTCTGTAACACATGTTTTACAGATACTCGTGCGTCTCTTGTTTTAATTTAGAGTCACATTTACTTCGAGACACTCGTGCGTCTGTTGTTTTACCGTCGTGTCACATTTACTTCGCGACACTCGTGCGTCTCTTATTTAACTGTTGATTAATATTTATTTCGCGACACTGGGGTGTCTGTTGTTTTACCGTCGTGTCACATTTACTTCGCGACACTCGTGCGTCTCTTATTTAACTGTTGATTAATATTTATTTCGCGACACTGGGGTGTCTGTTGTTTTACCGTCGTGTCACATTTACTTCGCGACACTCGTGCGTCTCTTATTTAACTGTTGATTAATATTTATTTCACGACACTGGGGTGTCTGTTGTTTTACCGTCGTGTCACATTTACTTCGCGACATTCGTGCGTCTCTTCTTTAACTGCTGATTAATATTTATTTCGCGACACTGGGGTGTCTGATGTTTTACCGTCGTGTCACATTTACTTCGCGACACTCGTGCCTCTCTTCTTTAACTGCTGATTAATATTTATTTCGCGACACTTGCGCGTATGTTGTTTTATCGTCGTGTCAAATTTACTTCGCGACACTCGTGCGTCTCTTCTTTAACTGCTGATTAATATTTATTTCGCGACACTTGCGCGTATGTTGTTTTATCGTCGTGTCAAATTTACTTCGTCTCTTGCGTCATGGTCATGTCATATATACATTTCAGCACTTCTTTATTCGTGTTGCTGTAGTCACAAATATTTCTGAGCGATATCGAATTCATAATATATTTAGTTTGTTTTTATTTCAGACGGAGTTAGATAAGTTAAACTCTGCCAGTGCAGACATAAACAGACTTGAAAATGAACTTGATGTAAGTATTTGACAATATTTGTCCTCCCATAAAAACACACAGGGTAAAATATATGCGCGTTTGCCTTTTTTGTATTTAATAAGGAAAAATAAGACATGCATCTTATTTTCGTGTTTTCCCTGTAATTATGTTTCAAGTATATGTAATTAAATTATGATAAGTAGAACAACACGATATGTTCTCTTGTGAGAAACATAAGATAAACTTAAATATTAGTGAATTGTACGGTGGCATAAAGGGGACAAAGATATTATTTTTTATTTACTACGTGCGCAGACGACACAATCTATGGCACCACGCGATATTATTACGCGGTTATGCGACAACTTTAACATGTGCACGTGATAGGTTTTAAAAAAAGTGGCAAGGTAATATGCATTTCGAGCACGTGTCCCTTTATGCCAACCGTAAAATCGTTTTGACACTGTTCTAAATGTAACATTCACGCCCCTTTGACATTTGTAATATAACGCAGTTTGCGATGAACAATTACTGGAAAAAATGTTGCAAATTGTAAACTTGTGTACGCTTATTTGGTATGACCTATAAATATTTACATTTTTCTCGCTTTAAATTGGCAATTTATTTGCAATTTGTAGAACAATTTATATAGATGATAGCAAGTTATGACCAACATAAAGTTTATATTTAGGCCAAATAAAAAAATATGTCTGGTTCAGGAAACATTGGTCCAAAAAATTAGGAGGGTAGGGATTTTTTTTTTTTTTTGGTTGGGAGAATGTCTGATCAGTGTATAGATGTGTTGCTTGCTTAACATACTTAAACAAAGATTGTAATCAATCAATGCAAACACCATTTTGTAATAAACTATCAGCATGTGCTATTGTGTTGTTTATTTCTTGTATGCATAGTCATTTAACCATGTAGCACCTGTATTCATACTAATCTGCTTTCTATTCTGCTTATTATGTACCCTTTCCCTTTGAATCACTGCTGTACTATATATATGCTAACGGTTAACCTGCATCTGACAGGTCTGACAATAAAAAGATCAAGGGGTCACCTCTGTAACAAGTTAATAATAATGCTGTATTATAAGCTTAGAGCATCTGATATGCACTATTCCGGGGACCAAAATAACACAGCTATATATATAATTTTAATATTAAACTTATTCAAATGGTCTCAGGGGGCGCCGCAAGTCTATAGATATATATTGTGCAACTGGTGCCAACAGTTGGCAGGGTTCACACAAAGAAGGAGTCTTTGGGACTCCTAAGCACAGAAAAGTAAGAGTTCCAGATCACATTGAATATGTAAAGCCATCTTTGCTGCACTTATATGCAGTTGACAAATATGATGTATAGCAGAGTTACTATAAAGGGGTTGGGGAGTCAGAGTTTAAACAGAGAAAAAGCTTATTCAGGAAAATAGTAATATGCCCAAAATGGAAAACACTGTACCATAAAAGTGATTGAAAAGATTTGAAATATTATTTCAAAAACATACATCATCAGACCATTATGCTGTTTTCTTACACCGCCCCCCCCCCCCCCCCCCCCTCACTTAAAAAGGAAAATATTCATTGTATGTTACAAACACATACTGGTAATGGCTCCATCTCAACTAATTTAAACAATATCTTTAGTAAATTTAATTCCTAAACTATATTTTAAGTGTTATTACACACATTTTAGGTCAGACACTCACATTGATATTTCCATAGACTTACATTATAAGAAATGGTCCCCAATCCTACCTTAAAATTGAGTTTTCATGCTAAAGAGCTAATTTTTCTAGCAGAATGAAATGCCTGACACATAAAAATGTTCTTGTTATATAGGGGTAGCCAACCAAATTTTTTGCAAAATGACTTCAGAGAGGATTACCCCCCATTTCATTGAAATTTTCTGCTGATCACAGGACTGACATACACTTTTTATGAATGCAAATATCCAAGTCAAAATTATCACAGAGACTCATGAAATATTTCATTTTCTTCAGAAGACAGTGTAGTGTTACTTTTTAAATTAGTTTTTTTACTTAAAAATACCCCACTTCCATCCAATCACCTCATGTATAAATTGACTCATACGGTTTTCCCTGCACTTTTTTTTCAGCCAATCGCTGGCCATGTTACAATGCGATACCCTGACCTAAAGGGAATATTAAATGTTTAGTATTCTAATATCTAATAATAAATGAAGTTGCATATACAATTACCAATTATATGGATGCATTTTCACCACTCTTAAGTCATTTAAAACTTTGAAATTCCCTTTTTTCTAACAAGCGCCGTTATGCCGCAATCCGGATATTCTGAAAATGAATGTTAGCATGTGATTTTCATACATAATTCATTATTCTGAAGCCAATTTTGTAACAACTTCCACAAAATCACTCAGATAGCAACACTACACTGTTCTCATTACAGAAGTGCTTCAAAATACTAATTTTCTAACAAAAGGATGTAGCAGGGAGCAATTTTATCACCCCACCCATAACAAAATAAGTGATTTTTCACCCAAATTTCAACATTTTATTACCAATAGACTTCCTGAATGAAGATTTAGCTTAGCAAACATACTTAATAACTACTGTATGGTGACCTGACTATGGATTACACGTTATTTGTACACACATAGCAACATTTTGGGTGTAACTAGGTATTTTAAAATTGCCCCTGCTGTATTTTTCTACTCCAAATATTTGCTTATATAGTCTTAAATACAAGCCTAAATGTCAATAAAATGCCAAAATTCTTTATATATATTTTGTCTCTCTCTTACATGGATATAAAAAATGCAATATATGGAAAAACCAAGTTCCTCTGGACTTAACAGCACAGTAATAGCCTAAAATTTGACTTCTCCACCCAATTTATTGGCCATTTTTGCATTCATTTGGAGCCAAATATGACAATTGAAACCTTCTTTCAGGTGTTTTACCATGTAAATCACCTCTTCAGACCAAAATGTACTTGGAATGGATAGTATTGTGTATTTACTTCTCATTTAGGTAGCCAGACACTAGAATTTATGCACTTATCTTAGTTTCTCAATAAATAAAGGGAGGTAATTCACTAAAGTTGTGCATAATCACACCCTTTGTGTACATTTATCTACCAGAATAAGTGCTTTTTCTGTTTATAAACACATCAGAGACACTAAAGCTGTGTTATAATTGTGCCTAATATGATTGTGAAAAAGTAGATCAACTTTTACTTATCAATAAAACTTTTTCTACAAAATAATTCTACCCTTGGCCATTATGATGCTCATTTCAATTATGCATTAAACAGGTATAAAGTCTAAAAACTATGGCATTATACATTGTGTGTAAATATGTATTACCAAATAGAAAACAATAATTTTTTATCACTATTTTGCATCTTAACCACATAATAAGAGGCTATTCAGAGGCTACCTAACTGAATTATGCTACATTTTTCAATGGATTTCATTTTCTAAGTATGTGTTGATATTCATGCCCTGAAACCAAGTAAATTTTAAGACAGAAGCCTTAAAATGCTATTTATTTGAAGCTTTTATGCTATCTATGCCTGTAAATGAAACACAAAACATTCTTATAGGGGAAACAGACATAGAAGCAATTTATTTGTGACATTCTATGTAAATATTTGAGCAAAATGGAAAAAAATTAGTGCCGAGCGAAGAAATGTCCGCCCCTAAATAAAGTCGAAAGTTAACCGAAACAGCACCCTAGACTATTTCTAGTATTAATATATTAGTTTTGAACCTGGCAATATATGCATTTGTAGTGATATACCTGCAACACCCATCAAAAGTGGCCAATGTGCTTACATCAGGTCCTGTCAAGTTATACATAAGTCTTCAAACCTGGCATGTGTATAGCCAATGTACAGCATTTCTTTGAAATCTGAAAAATATTTTTAATGACCAAGGTCTACATTATTCATCATCAACATATCACCAATTAATTATCACTCAAATTCACTGTTTAAAGAAAATACAAACCATTATTAACTTTTAAGGAACACTAATACTCTTGTTCATATGTAAACAATGCTTGTAGATTGACCCCCTTGACACATTATCTGCTGTAAACACCAACAGTTGCATTGAAATAATGAAATTTCATACCCTAGACAGGCTGTATACATCCATTCCATTCTTCCAAAATATCAGCTTTTCATGGTGTATCAATTGAAGACAATGTACTACAAATGAATTATGACAGTTCCAATTTCCCTCTCTTTAGGTCAGACACTCACATTGATATTTCCATAGACTTACATTATAAGAAATGGTCCCTAATCCTACCTTAAAATTGAGTTTTCATGCTAAAGAGCTAATTTTTCTAGCAGAATGAAATGCCTGACACATAAAAATGTTCTTGTTATATAGGGGTAGCCAACCAAATTTTTTGCAAAATGACTTCAGAGAGGATTACCCCCCATTTCATTGAAATTTTCTGCTGATCACAGGACTGACATACACTTTTTATGAATGCAAATATCCAAGTCAAAATTATCACTGAGACTCATGAAATATTTCATTTTCTTCAGAAGACAGTGTAGTGTTACTTTTTAAATTAGTTTTTTTACTTAAAAATACCCCACTTCCATCCAATCACCTCATGTATAAATTGACTCATACGGTTTTCCCTGCACTTTTTTTCAGCCAATCGCTGGCCATGTTACAATGCGATACCCTGACCTTTAACAAAACATATCTTCCTTTTGGTTACGATTTTTTTAATCATAAAAAGCGGCATCGCGAAAATATGTGACAATTGAAAATTTGTCTGTTTCCTGCAGAAACATTCACAATTCTACTTGTTGTTGATTTTGATCATATAAATTTGAATATTTTTTGATTATTTTAAGATTGTTACTCATCGGCAAATTCATCAGGCATCGTAAAACAAAATTTTCACATTTGTAACTTTCGTACCCAAAAATTTTCGTACCGAAAATTAAAAAAAAAGTTTAGGGTCGGCGTTAAAAAAATAGGGTCGGTCGGGTTCCCTGAACCAGACATATTTTTTTATTTTGGCCTTATGTATTTGTCGGCATGAGCGAATTTTTGTTAGCCATTTTTGTACTTTTTTATGATTAACTTGTCCTTATTTGAATGATATGCTAGAGTCTTAAATATATTGATATGAAGGCAATAAATTTTAAGTACGATACAATGGTATCGTACTACCATTTTTCCAAAGTAATGTTTTTGTTTTTTTCCCTCTGTAATTTAACATTGAATAACATTGAATGATATATAACTTTTATCAATTAAAAATTTCGTTATGATTTATATTCATAAATTCGTTTAATAAAAATTCGGGAATAAAAAATGATAATCTGATAAAGCATTTTCCATTAAATCCATATTTATTTGATGCTGAAGTTATTATTTATTTATATACATCGGTCATTCTTTAACTGCTTGAAAAAATAGCCTTCTATATGAAAACACCATAGTTCTGTGATCTATTGCAGGAGGCCAGGTCAAAATATCGCATCATCGTGTCGGGAACTTCCGGTCAAATGGAAATCATTGCAAAAGGCCGGAAGAAGAGTATCCAAAAAGCGCGGGAATACTACAAATTATCGTTGGATGCTAAGCTGGTAGAGACACATTTCTTTTATTACATTTAAGCGAAATAGTATTTACTTTAACAGAAAATTGTGTAAAAATGTTAAAATCTTAAGTAAATGTTGCTGTTTATTTGACATCCATTACCAAAAGCTTTGCATACTTTCATTTTATAACAATATGCTTAAATATTTTCTTATTTCTTAGTTTAAACATATTTCATCAAATCCATGTCAAATATTATACAAATGATGATAACAAAAAGCAAATTGGTTGGGCAAAACAGGTAGCCCTTCGTAGTAAATAATCAAAACGAAAGAGAAATGAGAGCTGCTCAAGTGAATTGTAAATTTGTACATGTATAAGAAGTGGCTAAGTAATGCCTTTTTTTTCAGAAAAGTTTGTACAAGCACGTGTCATAATAATTTAAATTAAAAATTTTATTATATTATTGAATAAAATAAAAATAATCATTATCATTGTATCAAATGAAGGCACAAAGTGAAGCGTTGAAGGCTGCGCGACAATTCCAGACCGCTGTAAGCGTGTATAAGGCCGCACGGGAAACCGTGGCTCTAGCAGAAAGCAGGTTGACAGAAGACACGGGGACAACGGCCGCCCAGCTCACGTCTGCCTGGCAGGAAATGCTAAATCATGCCATCGCCAAGGTTACGTTTTAATATAACATTTTTCCCGCAGATAATTTTGCAGCTTTCAAATTCTAATGTGTGACGTTTAATTTATTTGTTATTATTTATTTGACTGAAGATACATTTTTTAATGACTGACAGCAGTTTCTGTCCTTGTAAAACATCGTTAAAGTAAACTATAATATTAATATGATGTTATTGTAAAAAAGACATGTCAATACGTGCCAATTGTTACATTATGTATTTAAAGCTGCATGCTTCCAGACCAGCCAAAATTTTTCAAGAAAATCAAAGTCATAAACTGGTCTTCTTTAATTACTGGGGAAAATCATTCACTTAATTAAATGTACTTTAAAGAATTGGTAATACACTGAGCCTAATAAAATATTTGAATTAGGTACAGAATATGTTTTGTTAAGAGGTGAGAAAATAATTGATATTTTTTATAAATTATATTTATCATCAGATAAGTATTTAAGAATTTGTTAGTTAATGTCTCGTAGAATAACATTTTATTCTAGGTCACAGAGGCTGAAAAGGAAAGGGCAAAAAGTGAACAGAATCACCAACGGAGATCTGCGAAATATGCCGAACTACAGTCGCAAATTCAAATTCTTGAAAAGAAATTTGCCCGCTCAATTAAGAAAGCAAAACCTTACTTCGAACTAAAAGCTGAACTTGATGTTAAACTTATGGTAAGTTTAAGAATTTATTTTATTTGTTTTATTAATATAATTACATGTATGAATAGCATGGTTGAGTGGTTAACACATCGGACTAATAATCTAATGATCGCTTATCTGCGTAGATTCAAATGTCGTAATGGGCAAACCGTTGTTTCCTTGTGCAAGAAACTTAACATTCATTGCTTAGTTCTGATTGGATCCAGGAACGGATTGGAGAGTGTAACCTGCCTACACAATCAAACTAAAGATAGAATCCGTATAAACTAAACGTAGAAAATACCTTGATTTGACCCATCAGACGGTAATTTTGCCTTCATCCAATGACTTCTGATTGGATAAAAAGTCCTACATTTGTTGTCATTCAAAGCTATCTTACCTAACTCTTCCAAGAAATGTTAAAACAGTTTTTACAGACTTGTTGTATTAAATGTTTCTTTAAAAAATGGTTTAACATGAGTCTATACTAGTTGACATATCATGTGAGAACATAACTATGGCTCTCTGTATTAAGTTCCTCTAAAACAATAGTGTAAATGTTTTTGAAGGGAATAACCTATACTGTGACGGTGTGACTTAAAACCAAAAAACAAAAACAAAAAGTTTTGAAGGGATGGATGAAAATCCGTAAAGGTTTGCAAAGATTAGTTAACTTCCGACACACTGTATCAACGATACCGTCTTAATGTATCCATTTGATTTATAAATGTACAAACACAGTCGAGTATATTACCACGCAAGCAAATTCTTGTTAGTTTGCAGCTAATGTTTAATTGCAGTTTACGAAATTGTTATATTTTACAGCAACAGAAGCAAAATGTGTTGGATTTACAAGCTGCAATCAGATGTTGTAAAATGAAGTATACAGAGTCACTGCGCAAACTCGAAAGTATTTCAGAAGAAATACACCAATCACGACGCGAGAAAATCTGGTCAAAAGTTCCCCGGATGCCAGGAGTCGGTGCAGACACAGATAGCATGACTTCCGGTATATCGGAAAGTGACATGAGTAAGTGAAAAAAATCAAAGCACAGAAGGAGCTGAATTTGTTTGGGTCTCAGAATGTCAGAAAGGTGAAGGTTGTGAGATTATAAAACAATTTGTTTTTGTATAGTGCCACCAATGCTTTCCAACGTTTTAATTGTAGTAGATTGGCTATAAGACTAATTGCAACATTGATATTCAATCCAATCTTTATTTGAATTAATTTGAAAAAAAAATGAGTTGCCTTAAGTGGGATTTGAACTCCAGACCTCTCGCATCCTAAGCGAGCGCGCAAACCCCTCGGCCACGGTGAATTTATTTAGAAAACCATATTATTCTAAATTAGGGTTTGTAACGACTATAACGCTTATTATAAGCATGTATATCTATAAAGAATAAAACAATATTAGAAATATTCGACCATTCGGGAATTATTTTGCTTGAAAATTAATGCGCCTGTCATGTGACCATATTTACGCAGTGATCTCCCCTGAATTTTTCGGCCTTTGTGTTACATATAAAGGGAAGTAACCGCTTCAAAAAAGCGGACTACTTTCGGCAATTGCAATTAACAGCATTAGAGTCTGAAATTTCGCTACCATTATTTGTTTGGTCTGACGACCCAAACAAATAACTAGGGTAAAACTTTCCAGTAATTATATAAGATAATATACATATGTATTTCAATGGTAGTAAAATACAAAGAGCGTCACTTGTGTCGGAATACTTTTTTTTTTTAAAGAAAACTCATATCTGAAACATATAAATGGCCTTTACAAAAATATGTATTTCAGTTATTTCGGTTTGTTTTGGAAGTATTTTTCGTCAAACCAACAAAGTATAGGTCATATGGCGACTTTCCAGCTTAACTTGTGGAGGACGACCTCAGGTGTCCCTCCTTGCCTTATTTCAGTTATGGGCCCCGGATTGGAACCAGCGGCTTTCCGTAAGCTTAGCTGGATAGCAATCCTCAGTTTCAGTTTTCTTAAATAGAAGCCCGTGTCATGACTGTAAAGAAATCATTATAAACTTTCTAGATATAAACATCATATCAAATGT